CTCCCTCTCTCTTCACCTCTTGAGAGATGTTGCTATGGAAACTGGTTACAATTGATAAGTTTGAAACATGAGTGAGCCACAGACAAGCTGCTGGTACACACACACACACACATGTGCACACACACACACACACAGTCTGAGACAGCTACACTTGTATGTAAATGGTTCTCTGTTTGAGGAGCTGCTTTTCAAATCACCAAGACTTTCCATCTGAAGGAAATTAAATGTAGTAGGATCACCAGTTTAACTCTTTCTTTATAGCATTTAAGATGCCTTTTTTCAATGATGAATCAACAGCAAATGGCATAATTTAGTCTGATGTCTAGAAAGCCTGTCGCTGCTGTTGAATCCATGAGAACATCTCCATAAACTGGAAGAGTCATTTCCACAATATGATGAAAAGAGTGACAGAACATTAAGAAGGACAGTGGGAGACATGAATTATGCATCGCTGCAAATCTCAGTACTGTGAACCTTATCAGAATTAAGATGAGGTTTAACGTTAAGGGGAAATACTTCAAATTAGAACAGTGGGGTGAGAACTAAAAGTTAGAATGATAAATGGGGTTGAGAGAATAAAGATAGTTTGGAGATACTTTGGACACTAGACAAAAAGTCACCTGAGATGATCAGCACAAATAGGATCATGGACTTAGGTAGAATACACTTTCTGTGCTAATACACATACAGAGAGAGAGAGAGAGAGAGATTTTTTATTAATCACAGGATCATAGGCATCATGTTAGCCTGAATAGTTGAATTGTTAATAGTTGTTGATTGTATCAATAAGGTACATTAAATGAGTTAATGTTAATTAAAATAGCTTTTAATTAATTAATTCAAATTACTTTTTTAATAATTATGTGAGAAAAAGGAGTGTGTAGTGATACAAGAGACATGAACATTTTGCCTTTAGCAACATTCATTTAGCGGTCATTAAGCTAAATTATTAAATGGCAGACCTGTGGTTGACCAATCAGAAACTGAGCATTCCACAACAGTCAATAAAGAACCCTACCGAAACCAAGCAAAATTACTTTCAGAAACATACTGCTTTGCTTGCCTGATACACTTCAGATTTATTAGCATGTTAGCATGGCTTTATATAGTTTATATATACTCTTTTTTTTTTTTGGAATGGCAAAAAATAAGCAAGCTTACATTTACAAATAAGACTTCGAAGGTAAGCTAAGAAGGATTTCAAATTAATAAATAAATTAATAAAATAATAAATAGCATTAAAACATTCTAAATTACTACATTGCGATATTTAAGTTATTATTTAAAAATGAATTAGATTAATGGACACATTAATAAGTAAATAAAACAATTTTAACATTAAAAAGTACATATTTTAAGGTTCAATTCTCACTATTAACAAACAATTAACTACGACTTTTGCCTCAATAAACTCTAACTAAAACTAATTTGCTGCTTATTAATAGTTAGTAAGGTAGTTGTTAAGTTTAGGTATTGGGATCAGGGATGTAGATGAGTATATGGTCATGCAGAATATGTGCTTTATAAATACTAATAAACAGACAACATTTGAATAATATGCATGCAACTAGTGAGAATTGGTCTTTATACTAAATTGTTACCCTTTTTTGACAGCAAACCTGTGGTTGACCAATCAGAATCGAGTATCACAGAAAGCCTTTTACCATTCGTTATTGCACCCTACTGAAACCCAAATGACTTTTTACAAATACTGCTTTGCTTACCCGCAACACTTTTAATTCATTAGCTTCAATTTTTGTTTTCGTGTATAGGCTACTCAGGATAAATAGACTATAAACAGCACTTAATGGTCCTGTTTCTGTAAAAGCTCAAGATGGAAAGGTCATTTCTGCATAAAGCAGAAGCTTATTTATGTACTCGCTTTACATTGTTTTACTAATAATGCGATTATAATTGACATTCTCTGCATTTGGGAAGTACATACGTTCATGTATCCAAACACACACACACACACACACACACACACTACGTTTCCCCTTTCCACAGATGATTTATGTACAACAACACATACGCAAATTGTAAGTGTGAATTAGTGTTTGAAACTCCGCTGCGAACTGTCAGTGGGCTCTAGAGTTCCCAACGCCATCAGAGCCATGATTAGCATTCATACTGGACGCGCTGCTGTGAAATATTACACAGGACCACACAAGTGTTGAGGGGTGTTAAACGCTGTTATGAAAGCACTGTATCAATAAAAAAACTATAGAACAGAACAGACCAGGTGCACTTGAAGCGGTTAAAATGCACAGGCACACCCATAACCACGCATATACCGCTGCAAATCGAAGGTAAACCACACACAGTCTACATACACACATGAATATTTCCTTCAATGATCAGCGGTGCACCTTCGGGAAGAAACGGGTGTCATGGCAACAGGAGCAGGCCTCTGCAAGCGTTACTGGAGCAATCAGAGAGGAAAGGCAGCCAGGGGGTTGGCGTGAGAGGTGTCATTATAGACTGAGTGATTTGGAGGGGGTGTGGGGGGTGCGAGAGGCAGGAAACGATTAAATATTCAAGCAATAACGCAGCCAGAAGAAATTACCTCGCTTTCTGCTTCTGAACATCAGAAGTTTAAACCTTTAGCACGCCTGGAAGTCAGAGCAGGAAGGGTGAAGGGATCTGTAGCGTGGTCACACCGTCTACATGAAAGTGCAGGTGTCTGTGATGAGGAAATTTGTCTAGGAAAAAAAAATTGTAATAATATTTTTCTGACCAAAGAGCATTATTCTGAGTACAATAGACTTTTAGCTCAAATATTTTGCAACCCAAAGAGAAAGCACTTCAAATCTCTTCATTCATTTAGCCTACAACAGCACCATAAACTGCAACGCGACTTCTGTTGTGGATGCTGTTGTTGTAAATGGGCTGCAGCAGTAATGACAGATTTTTTCTTTAAAGACCGAGCCATAGTTTTAGTTAAGCGTGGTTTTATAAAAAAAAAAAGAAATTATTTTTTTTCCCGTTCCCTCTGCTGTACTGAAAACATACCAAACCGAGGACCGTCATTTTTGTGTACCATCACACCCCTAATAAACAGTTATATTTCTTTTAAAAAAAAAGCATAAATAACAGTAATCGTTTCAGCTAAACCGAATCATGGCGAACAGAATTCCCTAAATGAGGGAATGCTCACGCACATTTAACCCTTTAGACTGCTCTGTTGTACCAGATGCGATCCATTTCAGTTTGTGCATCGCTTTAATACCACGATTTCTCTAAAATACAGGCTGTTTTGTTCTAAAACCATAACAAATGAATATAGCATCTTCTTTGTTATATGAGGCTTTTAGAATCATTGTGTGATTTTATCTACTTTCTGGCAGTGGTGGATAATGGCAAGTTATTTTAGTTGCATTGTAGTAACTCTAACTGTAGCAAATATGGTGTTTGTGCAGAAACTAGGGTTGCTATGGTAATGTTTTATAGTAAGGGATGAACAAAGCTCTACATGTGTTCAGGCCGAGAAAATGTTGCTTAAAGGGACACTAATGTATACCTTCCGTTCCAGCTATCTATTTTGCACCTTGACTTTGATGGACACACATTATCAGCACTTATGTGCTTTCTGCACACCCACATAGCCCTCACTGAGTCACACACACACACACACACACACACACACTAGAACAGCTACATTTTTGACCAGATAGTATGTTAGAGCCATCTGGTGGACAGTATAATTATCCAACTGTTGAGTGTTCTGTTGAGTTATTTATTGTCTTGCTTATTTAGCCAGGTACAGCTTTGGAATGCATTAATTTGACCCTTGAAGATGACTAATATTTTAAAAAGCAGTATTTCATAATTGGTGTTGAAGTAATGATCTGTTATATAGTCAATGATTAATACCCACCTGACCCATTTTACCTCATCATAGCACTTTCCACAAATAGTGTACACTTTGGTGTCAGTGACCCTTTTTAAAATAATTAGATGCATTTTTTGTGAGAACCATTAGATAACTATAATCTAATATACAGTTAACCTAGCATGTAAAGTAGCTAGCTATAGCTAGTCTGATATAGCAAATAATTTTGCCTGTCCTGTATCAGAGGTCTGGACGTTCTTGACTATATACAACATTTAAAGAAATTGTTCATCCAATAATGAAAATTTGCTGAAAATATGGTAGCCATCCATGATGTAGATGAATTAGTTTTTTTCATCGGAACAGATTTGGAGAAATTTTGCATTATATCACTTGCTCACTAATGGATCTTCTGCAGTGAATGGGTGCCATCAGAGTCCAAACAGCTGATAAAAAACATCACAATAATCCACAAGAAATCCACAGAAATCTTTTAACTTAAAAATGCCACTTCTGGCCAAAATACCAGCCCATAATTCATCCCCAATAATCTGTTTTTATCAGCTGTTTGGACTCTCATTCTGACGGCACCCATTCACTGCAAAGGATCCATTGGTGAGCAAGTGTAGTAATGCTACATTTCTCCAAATCTGTTCTGATGAGAAAACAAACCTCATTGGAAAAGATGCGAGTAGATGGGTGAGTAAATTTTCAGCAAATTTTTTTTTTGGGGTATACTATTTTTTAATGTCATACATTCATATTTTCACATAATTTATTAAATGAATATTCAGTTTTTTGTAAAGTAAGAAAAATATTTTATTATTATGCTTTTAACCAGAAAAGTTATATTATGCTGCATCCAACATTCTGTGAGCAATCCTGTTATGGATGATTTTCCCCATTACAAAAAAGGTAACAACTTGTGTGAAACCCAAGAAGGAACATTATATTTGGATACTTTCCAAACCATTATCATTCAATTATTTTTTATATTTTTACAAAAATTGTTGTAATGAATGAATGAATATTTAATTTATGGGAAACATAATATTATCAATAACTGCAAACCATCCCATAATAATAAATCTGTGTGAGAGTTAAAAGGACTGTCACCAGTCCGTTTCCACAATCTGACCCCTCTGCCAGTAACCGGTTAGAAGTTGTATAATAAAGGACTCCCACAATGCACTGCATCGTGTCAACTGACAGTGTGCGGAGTGTTGTATACTGACCTAGGATTTCTCGCGACCCGGGGGAGCTTGATCATTTATACCACGCGTGTAATTATTGCGTTGGACGCTCGCGTTGAGCTCGTGCACACCATGAGCGGTATGAGGACCGTCCTGGCCTCGATCGGGGTGTTTGGGCTTGTCAGTGTGGGCTACGGCATGTGGGCCATCATTTCACCTGGAGAGGACAGGAAAAGGGAAATATTAAAGGTACTGAAACATTGCAATTTTAACGAGAAACATAAACCTATTTGATTAACTTGCATAATCGCGGGGTGTTGCTTTCACGACTGTTCACGACTGTTACTAACGTTTGTTTGTAAACAGTCCGTTTCATAATAAACGTGGTCGTGCAGGGTTTTACACGATCTCGTACTAACTGTGGGGGATAACGAATTAAATGAAATGGGATCGTGTTTTATTACACACTGATTGTGATATTCACTTTTAGCCTCCTGATTAATAGCAGTGAGAGAACTACATCAGTTGTTGTTGGATGCAGTTGACAAGGATCGCCACAGTATCGCGTTGTTTTTATCCCCATGGATCACACATCTGTGTAGAATATTATACTAATAATATGATGTTTTTACATTGCAGCAAATATTATAATGTAAAGGTTTAAACAACTGATTAGAGTTGTGTCCTGATGCATCTCTTCATCTAATTTTCCAGAATCTGCCCGAGGCCAACCCCGTCCGAATGGAGGAGAGCAGAAAGAGAAATGCCCTCGTGCTTCAGGTTTTAAAGGATGCTGCAGAGACGAGTGATAACATTGCACGTGGATATGGTGGCCAGAAATGAAGGAATGTGTTTGCACAAATATCTGACTTTCACATGCCATTAGCAATCTGTACATGCCTGGGAGTTTAAATATGAAGCCAGTAACTTAAATAAATGATCTGCAAATGCTCCATGTCATCACTTGATGGACACTGTTGGGCGCGTTCTGTAAGATTTGCGGTGATTGTGTTTTCCTTGCTGGAAAATTAATCTTGAAATCGTAGCTGTGTTGCGGACCAGTTTCCAAAAGAAAACAAAAACGAGCTGCCATGACCTGCATGACCACATTGTTTATATATGTATATAAATGTTTATGGAGTATCGCAAATAAAACTTTAAACGTGTTTTGTGCGCTTTACTGATACATAGCCATTTTCTAATAAAGTATACCGTCTGTTATCGCGTCTGCGCAATATTTGCACAGCCATGACTCGCACGAATGCAAAAACATCACTAACGCTAAACGCTTCCGGTGTTTAGGGTCATTGTGACCCGATATTTCTTGCAGTGAGTCGTAAATCGCTCATAGCGATGGAGTTATTGGACAACTTTCTGTATGGACGTTAATAATGTTACCAAATTAATTGGAAATTTGACCGCATCACTTGTTAGAAACACCAGAGACCAGTATAAAGGAACTTGGATATTAAACACTTCAACCTGAACATGTCAAATCCACCGCCTCTACCGGAGCAGCAGAGTCCGGTGACTCCGGTCACACCGCAGGCGACTGAGAAACCGCTGTTTGGGGACTGCTGGAGCTGTCGGGTCCTCTCGGGCGGAGGGCTGCTGGTTTCAGGGGGATATGTGGGCATGCATGCGCGTAGAGTCATACGTCTAGGCGGACCCGCATCTATGGGCACAGCGGTTCAGATTATGTTTGCTGCAGGTGAGCTCATTCATGCCCTCTCTGTTACGAGACGTGAGATCAGAACTGAGTCTGGTCTGTTCTCTCCACAGGGTTGGCTGCCTGGGGCATGGTGGTGATCTTTGATCCAGTGGGGAAGAAGACAAGAATAGCATAGCTTTGCATTTGGTCTTCCTATGTTGACATGGACTTTTGAATGAATCACCAAAGCCACACTGGCGGAGTTATTAAATTCAAATAATTATGAGAATGTAATGACACACGACTCAATCAGATTTCATTAAATGTTTTTATTTGCAACTTACAAAACCTCTTTCTTTCATCGAAGTGATTCAGTGTATTACATTATTATAATGAGGTAATGACATACTTTACTAATTATTGTAAAGTGGCCAAAATAATTAGTTTTGATGAATCACCTGGCCATTACATTTTTTCCCCCATCAGGAATGTCCTACTAGTCAGCACTGACAGTAATTTAAAAAAGTTATGAGTTAGCATTTGGTCCTTTCTTTTTGCCAAACGTTGGGACGACATTGACAAAGCGTCGGTTATACTGAATTCTTCTCTTTGCTCTGCCGGTCTTTTTCTTTTTCTTCTCCTGCTTGTCCACCTGGAATAATCATCAGTGAACAAAGTCAATAAACCAGTACATGCCCAAAATGATTTTTTTTTTATATTATAGGATATAAACATTGTTGACATCTTACCTTGGGAGTTTGTCCTCTGACTTTGCCTGCTCTAGCCAGGGAACCATGGACTTTGCCTTGGGAACAGGTTATATTTATGAAAACACCCAAACCAAGATATCTATCATAAGGTAGCCAGAGTTATCAATTGCTAAAAAAAAATGAATATTTCTAGTTGCTTTTGACTACCTTCAGCACAAATGAAGTTTAAAATAATGTAATTCATCAGACCTTTCACCAATGGCATGATAAAAAGTCACAGGCACAGGGTAGCAAAGTTGATCTTTACCTCCTAACAGCCTCGATGTGACCTCAAGAGTGTTGAACTCCTCAATCCCAGACTGACAAATCAGAGTCTCATCCTCCAGAGGAACCCCGCAGAGACACATGATCTGATCATCACATGCCAGGCCCTCCAAAGCTTCAAGCTGAGCCTAAAAAAACTATTAAATCTATCATTTCCCATTTAAGTTTGTCTAAATTAACTATGTATAAAAATCAGAAAAAGTACCTTGATTTGGGCAACAGTCTCTGAGCCATTAAGATGAATATTGTGCAAAGTCTGGCCACGAACAAACAACTGCATGATGTTCAGTCTTCATCAAACAAGATTACATGAAAGAATTAAAACATGTAATCCGCTTGACGGAATCGTTGCAAAAAGCACAATATAAACAATATTATTATTTCAATATTAAAAATACTTACCTATATCGCTGAATATGAAGGCCAAATACGACATCGACATCAACTCGCATCAACTCTGAAATGTTTACGCGATTCTAGAAAAAGAATTATCCTTCTTCTTCTTCTTCTTCTGATGTTTATTGGCGGTTTTGGCAAACCAACTTAAAGGTGCATTACCGCCACCTACTGATCTGGAGTGTGGAGTGAACAGATTTGGTAGAGAGAAGGATATTATAAAAAAAAAAAAAAAAAAAAATTTTTTTTTTATTAAATTATGTTTTTTATATACATATATACACATACACACATATACACATATACACATATACATATACATATATATACATACATACATATACACATATATATACACACATACATATATACATATATATACACACATACACACATATACATACATACATACATATATATATACATACACACATACATACATATATATATATATATATATATATATATATACACATATAAGAATTATCCTGCGCATGCGCATTTTATTAAAGCCACATAAAAGTCCTCTGGACAGCTTCTAACACTGTTTTATTGTAATATTGCGTTTCAAATTTCTACACTGAAGTGAATATAACATTGTAAAAAAATTTGATTTTAGTCATCTTTGAAAATATTATCCTTACGCTTTTTTCTTTTGTTGTCAATAAAGGTTTTTCACTCAAACTCATGACGTCACACGTCTCTCGAGGCAACAGAAATGTCCGCCTCCGCCAGAAGCATGTCTTCGACAGTCTGCCGAGCTGCGAGAGCTGCTTACAGAGCTTTTAATCCAGCCACACGTTCACTGAGTACTGGAGCTTGTTTAAGAGTTAGTATTACAATCATTTTTACCCTATAATTTATCCAGGTACTGTAAAATTCAGTTGTGCACCAGCTATCACAGTATAGATTCTTCTTGAAATGTTACGGGCAGCAAACAGTCATTCTAGCTTGATACTGAAACATAACTGAGTGATTTAACAAGACAGGTTGGTTTCATTTTAGACGGAAAGCAACCCTGCTGAGGGATCAAGGGGCTTTATTGAATCCACAGAAGAGTTCAGGTTCGTGGAGAGACTTGTTCCTCCTTCACGCATCCCAACTCCGCCGAAACATGAAGGCCCTGCACCGTCAGGATGGATCCCACCCTCAGGTAAACACACTTGTATTTTTTCCTTACATGGAAAAATGCATGTAATCATAATATTGGTGCCTTGGCTTTAAGGGATGGATGTGGTTTAATCTTTGATGTCAGGAAAGCATTTTGAGATTCTCATTCATGGAGTTCTGTTTTTATTATTATTATTAATAATTATATAGCTACGCCACCTTCACTGCCTTACATGATCCGTCGCTCCAGAATGCACAATGTGCCAGTGTACTCGGACATCAAGCATGGGAATCAGCACAGCACTCTGCTCCGAAAGATTGAGGGAGACATATGGGTGAGTGTAATGAACAGACCGGTTTAGAAGAACAATGTGTAATATATTAGTCCAATTCTTTTATTAACTGATTATCAACTATTTCCAGGCCCTGAATAAGGATGTCAAGGAATTCCTGCTGGGGCTTACAGGCAAAGAGCCTCCAACACAGGTCAATGAAATAACCAGGACCATCAGAATTAAAGGGCAGTTTGATAAAGAGCTTAAGGACTGGCTATTGAAGAAGGGATTTTAAATGTGATGTGGGCACAGCTAAAGAACTGAACTGCAATACAAAGGCTGAGAGGAAATGTATAATAGTGTTCTCTCCTCCTTAAACAGGTGGACAAACTGTAAATTATAATTAGTGTACCATTTTCAATACCCGTGTTTTGCTATTGTATTAAAGAGTTTGTGATTATAGCAAACGTTTCCATGTTGTCCCTGTTTTTTAGGATTGAAATAAATGTAAGGTATTCACTAAATCCTATTTGTAATACTTTTATCCTAAAAAAAGGCTCAATATAAAGAAATGTATCTAAATTATACATGCACTTTGAACAAATGCAAACATCACACAATTATACATACAGTAAAAAAAAAAGGACAACCACTACAAAAATAAATTTAAGTGCCAAGGAGTCTCTAATACTGTCTATGTACAGCATTACTTCAGTTAACAAAACCATAAAGCTTTTTTATTTGTAAATTGAATTTATGAATGTGAAACTTTTGAATTTGGTCAAAATGAAAGTAAATTAATTTAAAAAGTTTTAAAATCTACTATAGGATGATCAGTGAAAGCAAAAGGTAAATTTTCTCAGAAAAGTGAGAGAACAGTTTTGAATACTGCATATTATTTCTTTTTTTTATTGATAAAATATTTCGGTCAATAATGATTTGCCGGATAAACAAACTATCTGTTATGTTTCAATCCAGGTAATACAAAGTAGGACAAGAAAGTTCTCAATTTTTAAAGATTTATTCAAATCCATAAGCAAGCCAACATAGCCAGGCGTTACAGGATTGGCAGCAGGTGCAACACACTTCCTTTCTTACTCTGCACCTTTTATAGGTAACTATCTATCTAGCTAAGAAATTGTCTTGTGCAGGAAAGCTATCCTGGTCCAATAAGAAGGAACTATATTGTTCAACATCTAAATAAGAAATCAGTTAATGAATTTAGATACAAATATTTGTTATTTCCTCTTCCACCAAAATATAAAGAAGTGCACTTTAAAATGTGGTACGATATTTATCCTGCTAAGGAATTTCTGAAATTAAGATTTAATGTGGATTGTAATATTTGTCAATTTTGTAATAATGATGTAGAAACTGTTGAACACTTATTTGTCCATCGTTTTGGACTGAAGTATGGAATTGGATTAAACAAAGAATGTCTATTTTTCCATCTATTACTTGGGACATGTTGAAATTTGGAGTTCTTTTGGAGGACAAAAGTGTAGACTTTGTAGTCAATTGTTTACTCCTCATATTAAAATACTTTATTCACAAATGTAAAGTTCTGAAAACAGCACCCCAGTTTAATGTCTTTAAAAAGGAGCTTGCCATGTATACAGAGGTCCTGAAAATTATGAGAAGTGATAAAGCCAAGAAATGATTTGATTTGTTTAATAAGTGTGATTTTGTTTAATCCCCTACATTTTTTATGGGTGCATTAATTTATTTGATTTTATTTTGATTAATGTCTTGTATGATGGTTTATTTCTGTGTTATAGTATGATTAATATAAATGTCTCAGTCTTGGTTATGTTAGCCTATTTTGTTCTGTAATGATGCTTGAAATGCAAAAAAAAAAAAAAAAAACTATCCATCTAGCTAGCTAGCCATCATGCGCAAATATTGCGCAGTCTTGATGCATGCCGTGCAAGGGGACGAATGCGTCATCATGTTGCGACGAGAAACGTTATTCTAACGTGGCGCTTTATATCAAAGCAAATTTAAAAACACGGGCTGAAGAAATATTTGCTAATTTTTAATATACATGTACGTGTGTGGGAACAAAGTGCGCATACACAGAATTCTGTCAGGTAAGAAACTTTAAAACATTTATTCGGAGAGATGTTGATGTGTAATTGATTTGAATCCGTTATGCTTTTGTGAAGATTTAGACTTTTATCAACATTAGACTCAATTATTAAAGATGACTTTTCCCC